GTTTGCTTCTTTTGGCAAAATGCTTATTCAAATTGACTAAATGTAAATATCTCTCTTAATTACACCGATAGTGGGGGGTTGTTGATATATAAGTACATTTGAATTTGATACCGAAGTCAGTCTGTTTGTCGCAATGTGTAACAAAGTGGTCACTATCGATGAAAACACGATTTTCGAAATAAAGAATTCAGGTGTCCGTTTCATCTTCAAGAACAAGCACATAGATTTTCAAGTCCAGGATTTTTGGGATTTTTTGTTCTTTCTGGAGGACGAGGTGGGAGAAATCATGTTCTGGAACGACATAACAGTCTACATCGGGAGCAGTATCGAGGTGACCTATTCGAACGAAGAAGAGAGCTGTGAGTTGATACTGAAACAGGATCATGGCGACGAAATTATCCTCGACCGCGATGAAGTAGAAAATCTCATGGACCAGAAACACCACTTGTACGAAGCATTACGTTGTCTACATATGAGCTAATAAATATTTACTATTGTATCTATAGTTTTTCTTTTATTAAACCGTGATTATTGAGACACTCTGTATAAGTCACTCGACTTGTTTACCGACGACCCGATCACCCGCGTCACCGCGCCACACCGTCTCCGCGCCGCACCGTCACCGCCCTCTACCGGGGGGGCCTACGACGGTCGGAGCGCGCGACATCTAGCAGCGACGGGCGGAACCGGGGCAAAACAGGACGCTACACAAGCGCGCGACATCTAGCAGCGACGGGCGGAACCGGGGCAAAACAGGACGCTACACAAGCTGGGTGGGGGGCGGAGCGCACTCTGGTAGACAGGGGGGACACTAGGACGCCACGCGCGGGGGGCCCCCGCTGCGGGGGGGTTAGGAAATTGAGGTTATGTACGGTTTCTGTTGCTTATATCGGCACTATACATCTACTGACATGCCGGGAATTATTTGATGATAGTGTGGCTCATTTTTTAGGAAAAAGAGGGGTGGTGGAATGAATATTTTACATGTTTATCTTATTTAAATTATTTTTTTGTTGCTAAGCCAACGTATCTTATAGTTGTTGTAATTGCCTATGTTTCGTAATGAGCTGATTCGACTAAATTAATTGAGGTCATGTGAAAACCTGTCTATTAATTCATTATTATTTAAACATCACTAAAGTAAAATTAGTACGGTTGTTCCGTTCTTGCACAATTATTGGAGACCAAGTTATTTCAAAGTACGTAACCTTCAAATTAATCAAGGCCTATCGAAATTAATGTTTTTCTTGGGGCGGGAAAAAGAGTCCAGGATTATGATTTTGGGTTGGAGACAATAATATTGAAGTAATAAATGAATACACTTACTTAGGTGTCACATTTTCTGGTTCGTCATGATTCCGACCGATGGCAGAACAGACGTTCTGCGTTCTGCATGCACTGTAGTGATATTACGTCAAAGGCTAAAGTGAGTTATTTTGCCCTTGGCTCAAAGTTGTTGCAAAGCAACATTTTTTCCGGATGTCTGCCTGCTATACGACATTCAAATGCCCTAAAGACGACTGGTTTCTATGAATCATTTCTCACCTTTAGCGAATTACCAATGGCCTTTAAAAGATTTGAATAAACTTTCAAATCCAAATTCTGGTGCGTGCCAGTTTTAATTGATCTTCTCCGTTGAGGGATTCTTTTATTCAAAGAAAATGCTATATAATACTATTTAGAAATCTTCCTGATTCTTCTTGCTTCGGTTGTTGATTTTCGAAACGTCAGCAAATTTGATTTATCAACAACCGACGCAGGATTAATCCAGAAGATTTGTAAATGGCGTTGACAGATTGATTCAACGACGCCAGAATTTCCTAAATGTGGAAATGCACAGATAGAGATATTTGTGCAAATATACAAAATGTTACGATTCTCTCAATGTAAAAACAAACTCCCTCCCTAGCTATTGCTCTAGAGCACGCTGTCTCTGTTTCGTTGCCGTCAATACCCACATGAGCAGGTACTGGTGGGTTTTAATGTAAGTCCACGTTATTTGCTGCGCTGATTCTTGTTCGATTTAGTGGACAGTATTTTTAGATAACTTTATTTTTAACTTTTAGAAACATATAAAAAACATATGAAAATGAATAATGAAGCTGAACGTCTGCTGACAGACACAGAGCCCGAGTATCCCTCGGTCTATCTTAATTGTCGGCAGCGGCGACCCCCTCTTTGCAGAGTGTTGCCGCTGCAGGGCAGTTTCGAAGACCGTCCAGGTGCGGTAGAGGAGAAATAACATTTTATTGAAAATGAAAATATAACCTACCTAAATAATGAATGGTACTAGAATCACATGGCATTATGCAACTTTTTTAAGATTCCATCCAATTCTAGTGTAAAGAGAAATATCCCAAAACTGAACATAGATAAATAATACTTACGTTTACAGCTGATATTTTTAATAAAATACTGTAACTCCTTTGATGTTTGATACTTACAAAGTAAAAATTGAATTTCCCGCTATTGATAAATAACGTCGAACTGTGTCAAATAGCTGTTAAATAGATGCTACCGCATCCGTAATCATATCCCGACTTAGCCATGATGCAAGCCTTCTGCATGCTTCTTCATCCTCTACTGTTGTCATGACTTAATCCTTGATTTAATCTGTAAATCTAATAGAAGAGCTGCTTTTCGTTCTTGTGCCGTCTACTTTTCCATTGGTTCATGATCACTCCATCCCGTCTCTATCTATGATATACATCGTCGAAATATTTGAGTAATCCCCGCTGTTCTTAACATCCTGCGCTAGCATATCTGTTCGAATGCTTTTATTTTCCTGGTGACTCGCTGGGCCAAGCATCGGAGATTCTGATCGGCTTTAAGAAGTCTCATCTGTTTCATCGTACGAATTTTATAATCTTTCCATATTTTGACAAGTTGGGCCAAAGTTTCTTTTGCCATCCCATTTCTAGCTGAGAGCCACCCTTGCATGATGATCTGTCGAGCATGCCCGTAACTTTTGAAGTATAACCTGCAATTGCAAATTTAATGGGAGCTGAGCCCATGCGGATGAAATACTGATGCCAAAACATGCCGCGACCAAACAAAAAGTTCTCTAATTCATCAAATGTCAACGGCAACGTTGATGATTCAACGCTGCAATTTCTTATTTGTAGACAACGAGATTCAAAATAAAAAGTCTTATTCGTTGAAATCGAGTTTTGAAAAAGCAAATGAATGCGCATCTTGAAAATTTCTTGATGTTTACTTCAAAAGTGCCTGTAGTATCCTACTAAATTTCTAATAATTATATGGTTTAAATACATATGTATACCTTAGTTATTTTTTTTCTTGTTATTTCTCGTGACGTATTCTGTAACAGATAAATAAATAAACGTGGTGGAAAATTTTAGTAGTGCAAAATATACTAAGTGTTGAAAATGACACTTAAGTTATAGTTAAGATATTAACTTATATTAAATTCATTTTAAAAAAATAAATAGCAAATATGTATAAGTTTGGGTGCGTCATTTCTACGACCATATTTTCTCGCAATAGGTTTATATCTTTTTAAATATTCTGGAAGTCTTTTAATTTTTCAATGTATTGCTTAGTCTGGGAATAGCAGCAATAGAAATGCAATAGCGCAGTCATTCTTCCAAGCATTTAAGCCACATTCTAGCCTTAACAGTATATTACCCATTCTAAATGATTATTTAAGGTACTGAAATTCCTGGTGTGTTTATTTAATTTTATGACGTTGTAGCTTCATTTACTTAACAGAAGAATTGGTTAAAAATAATATTTATATTGAAGTCCGTCAATAGTATAATTAGCTGCATAAAAATTGTGTTGTTTTGCATAAAAGTCAAAAAATTTTACGAAGATTTCACTCGAATTGTATTTTTGTTTTTAGAAAAACGGAGAATTTTTCACTGAGATAATTTTTAGACGTAGATCGGCTATGAGATAATAATTATTATTGGCTTTTAGGTATAAATATTTATTTTTTTATACGCGCGTGGGATTTATCTTGCTACGTAATTATTTTTCACAAATATGTTCCTGGCAAAGCAATGAATTTTTGTCGGCATATTAAATTATAAACTTTATACCTCGATCGGTATACTAAAATTTGTATTGTTTTTTTTGGAATGTTGACATTTTTATAACGCAAAAGGCAGAAAAACATATTACCTAGTCTGTGTTTATCAAATACCAAATAATATACGTTTTGTTTTCCATAAAAATAAATATAAGAAAGAGTTTAGTCTACTCACAGACAAAATAAATCCCTTCATGATTTTAAAATCTGATATTATGTAGTTACTAGATATGTAGATATACACTGCATAGAAGAGCTGATTACACAAGAACTTTTGTTGTTTGTTTGTTGAGGCGTTTCTACAGGCGCAGGAATTTGAAATCTTGTTTTCAACTAATAACACCTATAGTTTCAAACCAATAAATAAAACCTAGCGCCGATTAATAACCGACATGGCCGCTGACAGTTCGTCAATTACAATCATATCTGCAATAAAGCAACGCTGTACTGCTCTAAAGCATTAAGGGGGCCATGTGGAAGGCTTTTGCTTTGGTGTTGTTTTCTACTTTGTAAAAAAGTAATTGCATTTAATTACGTCTCGCATTGATCTTCTCAGATTCGAACTAGTTAGAGATGATTATTTCCACTTTAAATAACTTTTAAATAACTAATCAGACAAAAGATGGGTAAATAGTTTGTAACCGTTTCCAGCTTCCTTTATTTAATATTTGAAGGTTTACTAACTAGCCATGTTCACCAACTTCAACATTTTATATTTGCTACTGTCGAAATCCGCAAATTATGTATTAAAAAAATGTTTTCTTTATTTAACTACCCTGCTATTATAACTTTAAGGAGTAGTTTTCTCGGTCCTGTAATGGAAACAAATACGTTTATGCATACGAAAGTTTATTTATTTCATTCTCTGTTATAACTGTACCCATATGTTTTTTTTACTGCTGTTAGAATATATATATATATATATATATATATATATATATATATATATATATATATATATATATATATATATATATATATATATATATATATATATACATTTGTTGTTTTCTTTTTCAAATAATTTAATTGATTAACAAATCTAGGACAATCTAACACAAAAAAAAATATATTATAGTCAACATCATTGTTATGGAAGTCTCAAGGCTCAACACAGGTTCTCGCATCCGGAAGTTCCAGTTTTATATGGCGCTCTGGGATAATTTCCCCTAAAAATGAGACATTGTAAATACTACAATAAACTACTTTTGTTAATACCGGGTTAGTAAAACATGACTTTGGCCATTGGAATCTGGGAAACAGTTAAAAATACATTCATCGACTTCCGAAAATATAGTTCACGCGAAAATTGGGATTTCAGTCTTTGGATTTTGTTTTTGACGAATTCGTTTCGCAGAAAGAAAAGGACAAAACGTTTTCTTATTCTTTAACGATCATCACTTTTCTTTTCTTTAAACCTTATTCTCTATAGAAATTAACCAAAAAGATACAACGAAAACACGCAAATCATAAATTTCATACTTCAGCCATCCCGATATTTAAATTTGAACTACCCTCTATATGAAACGCTGGGCGTTATACATCTTTTATGATGAAGACGTTTTTCGGTTTTTGACAACTACTGCCTGTTATTAACACAATTGTAGTCGGATTTTCGTTATCTAATACGATTTTTTTGTATATTCGATAACAGAATGATAGACCTTCTTATATACAATATAGCTGTATATCTAACTCCTAAAATGTATGCTAATTCTGAAAATATTAATATTTTACTGTTTTGGTTAGTTTTACCTCTTTTCAATGTACTCGAAGGCAGAAGTATAACAAATAACTTGGTTATGAAGAACGTTGAATTAATTAATATTATTAATATAATTAATTAATTTATTAGAGCAGTTACTGATACTAACAGATAAATTCATCACACAAGAGATGTTGTTCCTATGCATTTGAAAATGGCAAGGAGGTAAGAAATACGGCAGATAAAATAATAAAATTGTATTATACAAACGTGTTTTAATATCAAATAAAAAGTTCGCTTTGAATTTTATGTATGATATGATATGATAACCTCACAAAAATTTCATTTGTAAAATATGGGGTATTATCTGAAAAATTAAGAGATTGTCGGTCTTCTACTGTCTTTATGTTATTTTAATAATACTAATAATCATCTTTATTTCAAATTGTGTTAGTATATTACAAAATACAAAAACACAACGGAAATAGCGTCTAATACCTAGATTTACTTTTTTTTACATTATTATTATTATTGAATTTTTCAATAGGGTTCTAATCCTATCAGAAGTGTCTTAAAATCTTTTCAAACTACTTATTTCTTTTAAACTGTTCGGCAATTTGTTATAAAATCTTCACCACATATAGTATGCACTCTTCTCAGTTGTATGTGTTTGGTAATTTACATTTTGCGTTCTATTGTTGTACTTATAAGGCGATATATGCGGTTCAAAGTATTTCCGATTTTTAAAAAAGAAAATGAGCGAGTCGTAAATCTAGACACCGTATACCCGTCATTACCGTCATTAAACCTTCGATCTGAAAAATTTCTCGACAACTATCTCCACACTTGATATTTTTAATTAGCCTTATAACTCTCTTCTGAACTACAAATAATCTTTGTACTGCGCTGTGCCCTCCCCAAAAAATAATGCCATATTTTAAAATCGACAGTAAATTGGCAAAATATAAAATTTTTGTTCTATTTTAGTGCATGTACCTTTTAACTACTCTAATTCCACAACAAACAAAATCTGACCGTTTTATTAAACTATCAATATTCATAGTGGATTGAAATGAGCATATGTCCATTCCAGTCCACAAATTCATCTATATTTACTTCTAAAAACTATACACTATCTACTATATTGATAACATACTTATCACATTCCAAATAGGGTGGTTTATGCAATTTAGACTGTTTTGTTCGAAACAAAATAGCGTGTGACTTATCTTTATTTAAAATTAATTTGTTTTCTTTAAACCAATTGTCGGCTTTTCCATACAACTTATACCATTGTTCAGAACCTGAGTAATATCTCTACCTCCCACAAGTAAGTTTGTGTCGTCTGCATAACACACACACACACACACACTGCTTTCACTGTTTAGTCCTCTAATCCAATAGATGTCATTTATGTATATTATAAATATTATTGGTCCTAGTATACTGCCTTGTGCGATAGCATATAAGCTTTCTTTAAATTGTGAGTAGTGAGGGCGTCTATTTTTCATAATTTTGACAGACTGTTTTCTATTCGATAAATAGGATCTAAACAGTTCAAGCACTTGTCCTCGGACACCACATACACTTCTAATTTTTTAAGAAGTAGATCCCTGTCGATGCAGTCATAGGTTTTTGACAAATCCAAACAAATGCCAAGTGAGATACCGGCATTTTTGATATGTTTTATAATTATTTTAATAAACTTAAAAAGTGCAGTTTCAGTGGATTTGCCAGACGTATATCCATTCTGATGGTCTCTAAACAAGTTACAGTCAATAAAGAAATATACCAATCTACCACATACTGCTACTTCAAATATCTTCGAAAAACCAGAGAGAATAATGATAATTACCCATTTCTTCCGGGTCACCCTTCTTATATAATGCCTTGATTACAGCTGTTTTTAATTGATCTGGATAAATTCCATATTTGAAATTGTTGAATAATAAATGTCTAAGAACATTGTTAATATAGGGCACTAAAAATTTAACTATACTTTTACGTATTTCGTCATAACCACTACTGTGCTTATTCTTTATTTTGTTTGGTTGTTAATTGGTATTTTACAACTGAATTGATTAGATCTGGTATAATTGATAATAAATACTCATTATAACGGTTTGCTACTTCAGTAGGGTCACATTGCATTTGAAGATTACTGTTGTTGTTTTTATCTAAAATGTCGTTGCAATTGACCACATACATTTGGTTTTATTATCCGAACATACAATCTTCTGTCTGTATTCTTCAGCTCTGGATGTTTTTAAGAGTTTTTCATATTCTTTTCTTGTTTGGTTATAAAGCGATTTAAAATAAGCATCATTTCTAGAGAGTATAAGTAAAATGTTTAGTTTATTTTTAATATCTAGAACTTGCTGGTTATTTCTATGAGAGTGTTTTTTTCTTTTATTTATCAACTTCAACGGGAAATAATAATTGAAAGATCTACCAAAAGTATTTAAAAAATTAGACCATTGTCCATTAACGTTTTGTTTTCGGACCTTATATACATACACACTCTAAAAAATTTTGTTTATTTTCGGTTGAGAAAATTCTCACATAATGGAACTTTTCGTCCGACGGTTTTAATAGAAATTCAATTTTCTGTGCTTTATGGTTCGAGATAAATGTATCTAATACTAAGCTATGTACACAATCACAATTTACAAATAAAAAAGTCTTCTGTTGTTTTCAAAAATTGTAGGCGCTATATTAAAAGACGACAAAAGTGAAGTTAAATTTGTATTATTGACATTGGCCTTTAACATTTCTATGTTAACGTCACCAGCCATGAAATTTTTTTTCTTTTCGTTAATTATTTGGGACAGTACCTTTTCGGCGCAATGTAAGAAAGCGTCTATATCACGCTGAGGTGGTCTGTAGATTGATAGCACTAAAAATTGTTCATTGTTGAATGTGCACTCCACTGCCGAACACTCAAATATATTTTTAGTGTGAATTTAGAGAGTCTGTTTCTTAACTTGTACTGAACCGATTTATGAACATAAATCGCACTACCACTATGCTCATTGTACTCGTGGCAGAAACAGCTCACCTGAACAAAGTTTTTTAGAATTAGATGTCACTTGTTTTCGAGTGTTCTGTTAAACATAGAATCCTACAGTTTGAGTGGGTTTGGAGCAAATCCCCAGCGACTGTACGTTCCAATGAATAATACTGAACGTCTGTTTAATTCGTTTTACCTGTCGTCATATGAAGTTTGAACTTGTTTAAGAGCCGAATCAGAGGTATATTCTATAAAAAATTGCCATAGTTAATAATGTTTTGGAACGACGCCAATTTCCTTATGTACACTGGAGAGTTCTGGCTTCTTGCTGAATAGTTTTTTTCCAAGAATTTTATTTTATTACAGTTTGGACAGCCATAAGTGTCTGTATTGCCCTCTGTACTATTATGTTCACCACCACACCTATGACAACATTCTTTTTCAGAGGAGTATTTAGCCACATATCCAAAACCACAACATTTGTAACATATAACCAGGTTAAAGTGTTCTTTAACGTAAACTGTTATAAGATTGACATAAATTTTTCCTTTTTTTAAAAACCATTTGGCAGGATTGCGACATTGCTTTTTTGTCACCACCTGTATTTTGTCATGTGCACTACATCCAAGCTCATCAACAATTTCAAAATTGAGCCTCTCAATTTCCAATAAAAACTCTTCTCCTGAAAAACGTTTTTCAATTCCCGGTGCCATAAACATGGAATCCATATTTTGCGTTTCTTTAGTATTTATATTCTGACGGTTTTGCTTCATTTTTTGTTTGTCTTACACTTTTGAAACCTCGGCCTACCTCTTTTGGATTTAGTTCGCTTTTGAACTTTTGAAATGCTTCTTTCGGATCGCAAATTTCTGCAATTCGTATAATAGTTTCATGTTTCTTCTCCGTAACGGTCGTTGTCCAAGGTTGATGATCCTCTTCTGAAGGTATTCCTTTTTTGTCTGCATTTGTTTTGCTTTCTAATATTACGAAATATGCCTTTCTGCCTTGAGAATATGTAGCGTCATTTGTAGTATGGTATCGTTTTTGTTCTTTAGTGTTGTTATTGGAACACAATCGATTTCTCATTTCAATGTTATTTCTTTCTAGTGTTCCGATGTTAAAAACCATGAGTGTATTTAGTCTTTGTAAATTGTTATGCGCTTCCTTAAGGGTAGTTTGTTCTTCGCACGAGATGGTTCGATTATTTCTAGTCGCAAGTTCATTAAATTTATCTAAATGGTAGATTAGATTACACAACGTTTAGGGCGGTTTTGACAGTCAACATTTCATACGGGCTTTGATACTACTGTCGGAAACGTATAACTCAAATTAAAATAAATAAAATAAAAGTTGAATGAACCATTCCCTATAACCTTCAATCAAACGTACTCCCACCTAGGTTCCAAATTAGAAAATGTCTCGACTTACGTTCTATAGAGCATTTACGACTTTGGAAGTATACAAAAATATTATTTTTAGCAAAACTCAAATAATGTAGATATTATGGAAATTTTGACCTTCGGCTTTCCGGATAATATTGCCCAGCAAACGATATTGAACTTTGTCAGTAGTATAGTAGCTGCATAAAAATTCGGCTTTGTGCTATTTGTTCCATTGAGCTGCATTAATTTGTTAATATTTTCCTTAGGTGGTTAGTATCTCAGTCAAAATTTGGAAAGAATATCCATATTCATTCTTAAAGAATTCTAAGACTCGAGAGAGGCATTGACAAAGGCCTTTAAGGCCATGAACGCTTCAACACTCAAATTCCGATGATAAAACTGCCGAACTTCGAGGTATAACTGTAAAATGTTGAATTGGTAATTTGCTTGAATTGAATTAACGAATGGTTTGTATGATTCATGTGTTATTCCTCAGAAATCGTGGAAATGAGTTCCACTGGACAGACTAATATGAAAGTGACAAACCTAGAGAAGATTTTGTTCAGGGAACACTCGTTTATCGATGATCGACACGGTCAAAATGCATCGAGCTTACAAGTTTAGAAGCAACAACATATGTTTCAATTATGAGTATTCCTTTTTTTGGGGGACAGTGATTTGAACAAGGACTAACTGAATCTTGACTATTGCCAACTTAGTACCACAAACAAAAGGCCTCGATATGACAAAATTTTAATTAGACACTTACGCCGGACCGTAGTTGCAGGCATAAATCTTCTCATATTGGTACTGTCCATCTATAGGAAAATGGGTGTAACCACATCCGACGTACATGGTGTCATCCCAAACCAACTGAAATACGAATATTAAATACTCAGCCGAAATAGAACATATGCCTAAAAAAATAAAATAACACCGAAGCTAATTTTGAAATTATCTATTATTTATCTTGTATATAGGAGATTATTACTTAAATGTATCTTTTTATATAATAGAGCTAGAACAACTTATGGTTAACTCGTCCAAGTCTTGTCTCCGTATATTTAATAATAATAAAAACATTGAAATTAAAATATCTTTCTTTTCAATAGCACATCAACAACCTACTCAAGATTTTTTATATGAATTCAAAAAACTGTACAGTTTCTGCCTGCTAAAACAGCTCTCTACATTCACAAAGTGCAAACTATTGAATGCGATGTTCTTATATAATACCGTCTTGCATTACGCCATATTAAAGTGTAAAATTTTATCTATACAAGTTTCCACTCTGGTAAACCTGAATATCAAAATTGGTTAAGGTAGAGCCTTGTGAATTATATGACCTTTAAATTTAGCCCAACCTATCGTAATGTTAACAATAGGTCGTGCGGCAGTCAACGGTTCTCATTAGTAAAAGTACGTTTTTTTGTTGATCATAACATTTCTGTACTAGGAGTTTCAATGAGAATAAGGCATTTCTAGTCCCAATTCAATTATGATCTGTTGTGGGCCTCTTGGCCGTATAACTTTTTGATGACATTGTAAGATATGGACTGCATAAGATATGGACTGATTATTTTTAAGCGCTCCAATGGTTTACGCTACTTTGTACTTCAGACCTCAGAAAATAACTTTTTATTTTATCCCACATTTGTCTTAAGCATTGTATTTCATTATTATCTACTGCGTTATATATTTCAATTTCCCAACTGAGCCACCACTTCGGCTAAGAGTTTTGGTTAGTTTACCCAAGTGATTTTTTTTTCATAGACGGGCTAGCTAAAAACTTCTTTGACTGTAGCTACCATAGTGAAATTTTATTGCTACTAGACCATAAAGAGGTCTAGATTTGTTAATAAGTATTATGTCAAATTCGCATTGAACGAACATTTAAAAAATTACCTGAGTGTAGTGTCCAGTTTTTTCTGAAAATCCGCCTGGATACTTATAAGAAGAATGCTCGTTCCACCAGCCCAAAATCGCGGC